TAATGGCCCTCTTATTAGATCTACCTGCATAGCCTCAGGTTCAGAGTCTGTAGGTGTTTGTGGGGTCGGAGTAGAAATTCTTGAATAGAAAGTAGGAGTAGCACTTGGTTTAAAAGAGCCCTGTCTTTCCAATCTTCTTTCTGAAAGTCTCCGATCAATACGGATAGCCAACCGCACAAATGCATCAAACTCAACAGGAAGATCAACACGAGCTAGCTCATCTTTTATAGCTTCTGAGAGACCCCTTCTGAAGTGGAACCTCTGGGCTGATTGGTTCCAAGTAGTATCAGTAACCCACTGTCTGAATTCAGCAGCATATTCAGCCACAGAGCGCCTCCCTTGATGTAAATGAAGGAGAGTGGCTTCTGCTGTAGCACAGCGATTGGGATCATCAAAAACTAGGCACATGGCCTCAAGAAAGTCTTTTAAATTTCCCAAGATTGGACTGTCCTGTTCCAGAAAAGGGGAGCCCCAGGCCAGGGCTTCATCTTTGAAGAGGGAAAAAATAAATCCCACCTTCTCTCTTTCAGATGGAAAACGGTTAGGTAACATCATGAAATGCAAACAGCATTGATTTAGGAAACCCCTGAATTTTTTGCGGTCTCCTCCAAATTTTTCTGGTAGAGGCAAGCGGGCATCTTGTGCAGGTGTAACAGTAGTAGTAGCAGCAGCCGCAACATCATGTGCCCTGTAGCTGGTAAGCTCACTATGCATTGATCGAACTTCATTTTGCAGTTCAGCTACCTGATCCTGCAGCACTTGAATGGTCTGTGCCTGGGTCTGCATAGTTCTTGCATTAAAAGCAACCTGCTGGGCCAATGCAGAATCTGATCCGACGGTCTCCATGAATGGGCCAGATTATTCTGTAATGATATTGATGTTACAAAGTTTTGGAGTCCAGTAGCCAGATCAGCAATGTTTTCTGCCAGAGGTAGCCACTCGTTACCCAGGTGGTTGAGCCCCTGAGCCTTGAGTGGCCTTCTGGTCTTAAGCAGAGATGGGAGACTGGAACAGAAAGATGATAATCGTAGTGAGGCAAGCCGAGGTCAGTGGGAAGGAGAAGCAGCAAAGTCAAAACAGTCCAAATTCAGCAACAGGAAGGAGAAACAGGAACACGCTGGATTAGAGAGTACAGGAACCACAATAATCTGGCAAAGGTACAGAGACAGGAAGTGGCTTTTATAGGCCAAGAACCAGACACCTGACCAGACACAGCTGAAGTGAGTTGTCACTGATAACCTTGACTCTACAAGCAATAGTATCAGATCTCAGGTAAATTTGCAAAAGGCAGGCTGGTGTACTGGTAAGGAAAAGGTTTAGCACCATGTAAACCAGGGTTCGAAACCCAGCAGAGTCAGTTCCTCACAGTGTGCATGTGACACAAAACTCTGTAAAGTAATACAATGTGAGCAGATATTACTTTGCTGCAAGAAAATGTAAGTAGATTGGGTGACTGGGCACTTAAATGGCAGATGAAAGTTAACATGGATATATGCAAAATTATGCACTTCGGGGTAAAGAATACATAAGCAACTTACACCCAAAATGGTAGTGAATTAGGAAAAACAACACACAAGAAGCATTTGGGAATTGTAATCGACAAAAAGTAGGCAACAGTGTCAATCAGCAATGGCTAAGTCCAGTAAGGTAAGCATTCATTCATTCTTTGTAAATCAAATGGTACATATCCTCTTTGTTAGACCACACCTTGAATACCTTGTGCAATTTTGAGCAGCTGTTCTAAAGTAGGATATTATAGCACAAGAAAAAAAGTGCAGAGGTGGGCTAAATAATTAAAGAAATGGAACAATTTAGTTATTAAGAAAGGTTAAAAAATTTAAATCTCTTTAGTTTAGAAAAACGGTGCAACGGGGGGATAGATATAATAGCATTATACAAATTTATTCAGGGCCAATACAAACCATTGTCTATAAAGCTATTTATAAACAGGACTATACATAGGACATAAGGTCACGCATTTAGACTGGAAGAACAGAGATTTAGTCTAAGGCAAAGAAAAGGTTTTTTGTTTTTTTACAGTAAGAACAATAAGGATGTGGAATTCTCTTCCTAAAAATCTTTGCCTGTAAATCATTTATCAGAGTCTGTACAGATGTTTAAACAGCGACTGGACAAATACTTCAGAAACATAATATTCAGGGATATAATTTTCAGTTTATGGGGGTAACAGCTTATTGATTTAAGGAGAAATCTGACTTCAATTCTGGGGTCAAGAAGGATTTTTTTCCCCCTAGTTTGTTACAAAATTGGAAAGCACTTCAAATGTGTTTTATTTTTTGCCTTCTTTTACTGACAAGCCTAATGCAATTTTCTGTTGCCTTCAATAGTGCAACTTTTAAATAATCCCATTTTTCTTAGACTCCATTTAAATTGCTCCAGTCTGATAATGACTCCTCTACCCATATTCTAATTTTAGAAAAGTCTGTTTTTCTAAAGTCTAAAACTTTTGTTTTTGTGTGGTGTGACTCAGTTACTGTTCTTATATTAAACCACACTGACTGATGATCACTGGATCCTAAACTTTCACCTACAGTAACATCTGATACCAAATCTCCATTTGTTAACACTAAATCTAGTATGGCCTCTTTACGAGTTGGCTCCTCAACAACTTGTTTTAGAGACAATCCCAGTAGGGAGTTTAGAATATGTGTGCTCCTGGCCTATAAATCACACCTACACGAGTTACTGTGTGATTACCAAATTCTAACGTAGCCCAAACGGACTCTATGTTTGCCTCACTAACTTTTATTAGGCTAGATTTTATGCTATCCTTCACATACAAGGCCACCCCTCCCTCTTTCTTGCCTTCCCTATCTTTCCTTTATAAAGAGTACCCTGGTATTGCTATGTCCCAGTCATTTTTGTCATTGTACCATGTCTCAGTAACAGCGACTAAATCTACACTATCAGTTGCCATTATTGCCACAAGTTCATGGATCTTATTCCCTAAACTGCGAGCATTTGTAGACATGACTCTAAGCTTATCATTTTTTAACACACTTGCTACAGGCACCTTCTGTCCTTGTTTTGGGGACAATTGGATTGATGTTTTATCACCCTTTTGCCCCCCCCTCCTAGTTTAAATACATCCTAGCAAAACCTCTGAACTGCTCACTGAGAACATTTGTTCCCTTTTGAGAAAGATGCAAACCATCTTTTTTGTACAGCTTATCTCCATTCCAAACAGAGCTACCATGAGAAATAAAGCCAAATCCTTGCTCCCGACACCATTCACCAAGCCACAAATTAAAGTCCCTAATACGCATCCGCCTGTCGCTCTGAGTGTTATGCACAGGCAGAACTTCAGAGAATGACAGTGTGGAAGCAACCTGCCGTATATCATTGGCAAAAACACTAAAAACTTCCTTAACCTCTGAAACCTCATTGCAAGCCAAGTCATTTGTCCCTAGATGGACAATTACATCCAATTCCCCTTCCTGCTTTGCTTGCTTAACAATATTACAGATACGTCTCCTGTCTCTGTGAGCAGTAGCTCCGGGAAGACACCTCACAAGACCACCATTGTCCATCTCCACACCTCTTATAATAGAATCACCCAACAACAACTGCTTTTTATTAGGCCTCACCATAGTCTCCACAACACCACTAGTCTCAGTGCCTCTCTCCACAACACCACTAGCCTCAGTGCCTCTCTCCACAACACCACTAGCCTCAGTGCCTCTCTCCACAACACCACTAGCCTCAGTGCCTCTCTCTACAACACCACTAGTCTTAGTGCCTCTCTCTACAACACCACTAGTCTTAGTGCCTCTCTCCACAACACCACTAGTCTTAGTGCCTCTCTCCACAACACCACTAGCCTCAGTGCCTCTCTCCACAACACCACTAGCCTCAGTGCCTCTCTCCACAACACCATTACACTCTGAAAGTGCAGAAATGAATTATGTAGAGCAACAGACTGTGCAAAATGCCTTTTATCCACAACTCTAAGTCTACCAGATCCTACTGTAATCCATCTGCCTTTCCTAGCATGTCTCTGCGGCAGTGGCTTTGCAGCAGTTCCAGTCTGAGTTTCTTCACCAGATAATTTACAAATCTCAGACTTCAAAAATACAATCTCCTGCCGCAAGATAGAGAACTGTCTACAGATTAGACAATAACCAAACCTCCAAAAAGTGGAACGTGAAACAAATGCATAGCAATTGTTACACTGAACTAAGCCTGCCATTCCAATTATGAGAATAATTTAAATCTAACAAATCTTAACTTTTTTCTTTATCCTCCTGAATACCTCAGATTACCTCCAGGTTCTCTCCAGAATATCTCCAACTACACACTTAGAAACAGCACTTTGAAGTAGCACCAAGCTATATTAGACAAGCTAATGACACCAGGCCTTATATAACTCCTAAAATCACCGCCCACTAGGAATGTTTAACACCTGGGTAGGCCTCTGCTTATTTGCAAACAATAGCTAATTAACCAGCAATCAACAGCAAGTAACTAGCTTAATCAAATCAAATGCCTTATAATTACCAGCAGGAATTCAAACCTTGTGCAATCAGTAACCTTTTCTGTTAAACCAACAGGGATTCACAAGCACTCTATTTCTGGTGCCAAAGAAAGGGGGCGGGGTACGCCCAGTGATAAATCTTCAACAGCTAAATGCTTTCCTTCAGTACCGGCACTTCAAAATGGAGGGCATTCACCGCCTCAGAGATTTACGTCTACCAGCGGACTGGATGGTCAAGTTAGACCTGCAAGACGCATATCTAACAATTCCCATCGCGGAAGACTACAGAGACCTTATTGCATTTTACCTGGCAAGGAAGGAGATGGAGCTTCAAATGCCTTCCATTGGGTCTATCCTCGGCACCATGGTGCTTCAGCAAAGTGATGAAACCGGTGATAGCATTCCTCAGAGGAAGAGGGGTCAGACTCATTATATACCTAGATGACATCCTCCTTCTAGCCAGCTCACCATCCCATTTGGATTGTACACTGAACCTCATACAGAACTTCCTCATCAACTGGGAGAAGTCGATCTTAGAACCAACACAGGACATAGAATTTTTAGGCTTTCAAGTCAATTCCATTCAACAGACCCACTGCCTTCTGGAAGACAAGTTCAAGACCATAAAAAAGGAGATCAGATGAATCTTACGAGCTCCAGACTTCTCAATACGACAACTGGCACGAATCATAGGTCTGCTCGCCTCATCCATCCAGGTGATATTTCCAGGCCCGCTGCACTACCAGGTGTTACACAGACTCAAAGGCTCCTATCTCCGTGCTGGCCACACATATGAAATGCGACTCATTAGGGACGCAGAATCCAGGGAGGAACTAGCGTGGTGGCTCGTCCACATGGAGGCCTTGAATGGCAGAGCAATATTCGGGGCAACACCAGACATGATTATAGAGTTGGACGCCAGCTCATATGGCTGTGGCACACGCTGTGGAGATATTTCAACCGGTGGCAGATGGTCGGAACAAGAAACATGGCTCCACATCAACTGCTTGAAATTCCTGGCGGGATCGTTCGCCATCCGCAGCCTTACACCCACCAACATTACTTGTTGTATCCTACTGAAAAGGGACAATGTGTCAGCAGTGAGATACATAAACCACTTGGGGGGCACAAAATCAAAGATGTTGGCCCTCCTCGCCAAAGAGTTTTGGCACTTCTGTCTCCGCAACAACATCTCCGTGATTGCAGAACACATTCCGGGGCTGGATAACTCCACAGCAGATTGGAACTCCAGATACCTCAGGGACTCGGGGGATTGGAAGCTACACAGACAGACTTTTCTTCAACTACAAGCACTGTGGGGTCAACTGGAGATTGACCTATTTGCTTCTCGGTTGAACACACAACTCCCAAAGTTTTACAGCTGGAGACCAGACCCGGCAGCTCTAGCAACCGACGCATTCCTACAAGTGTGGCCACAGACAAGGCATTATGCATTCCCACCGTTCAACCTCATACCTCGGACTCTCATCCATCTCAGATGGTACAAAGGTTCCTTGGTATTAGTTACCCCGTTATATAGTTACCCTGTTATTAGTTACCCCGTTATGGCGGACACAGGCGTGGTTCCCCAGACTGCACGATTGCTCCCGAACCTGCCGGAGTTGCTGACCGACCTGGATGGGAACTCGTACGACTTAGTGGACAGAGGTCTGTTACGCCTCATAGCTTGGCTCCTTTCAGGGGACCCTGGACCATCCCTGACATTCCACAGGCAACTCCCAGGTTTTTAGCAGAGGCGTGGGCACCAGGCACTAGAAACGCTTACCATTCAGCATGGAGATCATGGTCTAGCTGGTGCCTGGCAAGGGAAGTGGATCCCATATCTGCCCCTCTGAGTAAGATATTACATTTCCTCACATCTATGTTTGAAGCAGGAAAAGCATATCGTACGATCAATGTACACGGATCGGCTATAGCAGCAGGCCATCAGGGGTCTCCGGGAAATACAGCAGGAAACCACCCCATGACTTGTCGACTCATGAAAGGAATTAGACTTTCGAGACCTCCAACGACCAGATATTCCGCCTTCTGGGATGTCAACATAGTCCTCAATTTCTTAGACTCGTGGCCGACAAATCAAGAGCTCTCACTTCAGAAACTTTCTGCAAAATTACTCATCCTCCTGTGTTTAATTGCATGTAAACAGGTTTCAGATGTCAGGGCCTTGGACTGTAACGCTATCAATTTTCAATCGGGAGTGTTATTCAACATCTCACGAAGAACTAAGACATCAACTAAACAAGTCTTCTATCCAGGTTTCCCTAACAAACCTAATCTGTGCCCTGTACTATATCTGAAGGCATATCTAGACTACACGGCTACCCTTTGGTCTCCACAGGAAGGCGCATTATTTATTTCCCTTCGGAAGCCACACCTCCCAGTCTCATCTCCCACATTGGCCCGCTGGACAAGATGGATGCTTTCTACAGCAGGGATTGATGTATCGAGTTTTTCACCTCATTCTGTAAGAGGAGCGATGGCTTCCAAGGCTTCGACGATAGGTTGTCGCTTAGAGGATATCATGAAAGCGGCTGATTGGTCTAATGAGTCTACGTTTAGGGACTTTTATTGTCGCCCTGTCGAGCACTTTTCTTCAAGGATTATTGATCAGCTTTGAAATTGCATATATACGAGCCTCCGTGTCTATAATAAAATTCCAAGATTTTACTATTTGCATGATTTTATTAAAGACACGGAGGCGAGTATTATTCCCTCCCGCCCAACCGCGGAAGGTGGATACAGTTATATATTTCTGGTACAAGAACTACGGTAAGTCACATACGGCATGACTGAATTATTTCATAGTTAACATTTTTAAGGTAGGATAAGAAGATTTTGGGTTATCTTGGAATACTTGGATTTATGATTATGTTGTTCAAAGATATACAAATAGTTGAAAGATAAGGTTTTACCACATATTTGTTTTTCTTTGCAGCCTAAATGATGGATACGGATAATCGTGTTATTGACTGATTGGATGTTATTTTGTTCTATGGAAGGTCGCAGACAGAAAGAGGAGGAGCAACAGATGACAGCTTCCTTTCATATGGACACTGAGACATTATTGGCTGCCACTGTTCCTAAGCAGATTTAAATGTTAATGTTTAATAGTTTTTTTGTTTTTCTCTCAACTTTTCTTGCTGCTGAGGGAATAAATAAGAAAGAGAATGCATATATACTCGCCTCCGTTTCTTTAATAAAATCATGACTTTACGTCATGTAAATAGTAAAATCTTGGAATTCAGAAGCATAAGCTGTTCACAGGTCACAAAAGGTCATCAATAGCTATGCATGTGCTGTATCCATACATTTATGTTTACACACCTGAAATTGTCACAAAGTTGAAATATATCATTTATAAGAAAATCACTAAATCAAATTGTTTGATAAATACACTTTAAAATTTGCCTCATGATAAATGTTACACCATTTTCAGTTGTGGAGCCCAGATACCATGTGGTCTAGTCTGGTGTACATTTTGCATTACTTGACCAATTATGAAACAAAATATAAAATCTTGTGCAAAGAAAAATTAAATTTGACCAAATCGATTCATCCAAAAAAATAAATACATTTGGTTTGGGTAGATCAGCATTCGTCTATATAGCATTTCAGTTCTGGCTAATTTCATCCATGCAACTGTGTTGAGAAAAGTAATGCAGGTGTATTAAAAGGGTGCTAAAAAATTGTACATTATGTACAGTACATTGATAGGCACATTGTTTCTCCATTTGATTTTCAGATCAAAAAGAGAGACCGATAAAGTAGCCAATAAAGAACAAGAGTAGGATTAGTAAAAAAAAAAAAAAAAAACTCTAATTATATATTTATATATTATGTATATATTTGTATATTTATATTTTTTTTTCTCTTTTGATCACTTCTTACGTGACCTGTTAATAAGATCAATATTTAGTGACCATCAATCATCTTTTTATTGGCTCCATGGACAGAACTCAGAATCACAAAACAAACAAAAAACATTTCATGCATTGTTCTTTTTGTTTGTTTTATGATTTGTCCTTATAGCATTTATTTTTCCCACCCCTCAAAAAAACAGTTTTTTCTCCATTCCATCCCCCATTCTCTTGTGCTACAGATAGCATGAATCATGAAACAAATTTAACTAGTGTCTATTATTAAGGTCATTTTTAAGTGCTACATTCATATGGCTCTTCAGAGTCCAAGAATTCAGACATCCCAATGATTGTCAAAAATGTGAAAAAATTGCAATTTGCTTGAAACCCCGCAAGACTTGTCATTTTAGAGATGCTCTCACCTAGATGTCTAGCCATCACTATTTGGCCCTTGCCAAAGTCACTCAGATTATTTCGATTGGCCAATTTTGCTGCTTCCTACACATGGAATTAACACTGACTGTTCACTTGTTGCCTTAGATATCCCAGCACTTGACTGCTGCCATTGTCACAATATAATCAATGTAAATCAATTCATATGTCAATGGTTTTAATGTTGTGACTGATCAGTGTATAAAACACAAATACATATATAGTGTAGACTATCTGTAAAAAACATAATAAAACTTTTTTTAAATATATGTTATTTTGGACAGCATCTCACAAGTGGGGAGTGGTTAAGTGCCACTCACATGTACATGGATTGGTTGTATTAGGTCGTCATGAACGGTGGATCAAAGCCACGTCAGATCAATGAAGCATCAGCAGCAGCAGATTCACCTGTGAAACTCAAATATCATTGTAGTAGGTATTATTCACATTTTCATTTTCATGTAATTGTGTAGTTTACAATAGCTATAATTATACTATCATACTCTATATATCCATGGACAAATATGTAGTTGAAGAGTATCTGACTGATTTATATGCATGCATGGCATGCTTTCTTGATATTTATATAGTATTTAAAATATTTTATGTATGTATATGTGTGCCCCTTTTTCACTTCATTATCACATACATCTGGTGGAGAAGCAAATTGCTCATGGATTGTAAATAAGAATCCTCAATGGTGCTGACACTATCAAACACAGGGCTATATTTTAGCAGCTGGATGAGGGTGACTTTTTGCCTCATTATGGTATAAACTTATGATGCTTTATAAAACATTGTTCAAGTAAAAATATATTGCTGTGTTTGTGAATTACACCCACATACAGATATTAGTTTTACATTCAGTGGCCTTTTGGGAATCTTCACTCCCCAAAATGCTCTCTTTTGCACTATAGATATCCATGAGCAATGTCTTAGAAATTACCAAAAAATATATATTTTTATATATATTTCACCTATCTAGCTTTACCCCTCAACTCTGAAACTGATTTATTTGCATATGCTAGAACAAAGTTACAAAGTGTTATCTTTTTAATACTCCACCTATCCAAACAAACTAACATAACTATATGCAAAATTCCGATACACATTTTAAAAAATGTTTATTTCACATGCATTCTTGGTTTTGGTTTGTTTTTTGTTGTTTTTTTTATCAGTCACAGTACATTAATGTAATCTCATAGTAAATCAGTCCTTAACTATTGTCTTGATGACATCTGAGATAAATGGTTTAAGTGTTTCATTTTTAATAAACACCAGCAGAGGGTGATCAACTACAAAAAAAAAAACACATTATTTTATACTGTCATATTTACTAAACAATTTAACTAGAGAAAAAAAAGCACATGAACAGTCCAGTATCAACTCACTAGCAAAGAGTGTTGTATCATTAATATAAATAAAACAATGTGTTAGTATATATAGAAGGAAAATAAAATTTTACACCATCAACAATTTCCTAAAGCACAAAACATTGCATTTTGCACAAGTGTTCCATAAATTATTTTCAGTAAATGTCTGTTTTCATATATATTTAACATATTTAGAGGTCAAGCATTATTAAAGTAACACTCCAAGCACCATAACCACTGTAGCATGTTATAAAAGTTATGATACCAGGAGTGCCCTGGCCCCCACTCAATGTAAGCAGTCAATCCAAATTGACTTATTTGCCTGGGAGACAGTCAAGCCATTTGCTAACAGTTTGACTTTATACCTGGGGTCCATCAGTGAGAGAGAGAAACACATTGACAGAGTGCACCAGGTGATCTCTCTCAACCAATGAGCTAATTCCTGCACTGCTTGGCTTAGCTAAATACAGAGAGATTCCAGCTTTCAAAGAAAAGGTGACCAGTGGCCAGCAGACAACAGGTTAGTAATTAAACCATTAGCAAATTATTTGCCTGCTTACTTTATGAAGGTGTTAGAGTACTCCTGGCACCATAACCACTGCAATGGGCTATCATGGTTATAGGGCTTGGAGTGTTCCTTTACGAGATTAAAATATTTGGCAACATGAATTTTACAGTCGATTTGATTTAAATGGGCATTCTACTAAGATGATTAATTGTATTACTATAGAGTTATAGCATGACCGTGCTATTAAAAAACAGTTGGACACAGATGTGTGGGCATTTTATATCAGAATAGATAAAAATAGAAATTGAATAAATGGAAATTTTATCCACTTTAACAATACACAGAGATAATGCTTTATAACAATGTTTCCAGAATAGGCCTGGTCCTACCTACCGAGTGGGCGGTCTTGGCCTGGAGTACTGTCACAATACCTTACCTCGTTCTAGCGAGCCTATGTGGTGCGGTACCCTGAGCCGACTCTCTCCACCTGATCGGCAAGTCCCAAACTGGACACTGTGATCATGCCCCCACTTATAATGCAACGCATGCAAGTTGACATAATTACGTAGGGGATTTGCATAATTTTTACCGGCATCAAAACATTTTGGTGGTGTGGCCTTAAAAAAAAATTCCGATATAAATAGGGCACCTTTTGCTTTGTATTTTGTCCTATTGTTGTTCTTGTGTAGTTCCCTCTAGTGCTAAATGTTATCAGTATAGTTTTTCTTAGTATTTTGACTCGGCTTGGTATTTGCCTTTTCTTCTCTCTGGTATCCTGACTTGGCTATTCCTTAATCGGTCTCCTTATTTCTAGCGTCCTTATCTTTGAAGATCCTCTGCCTATTCTTTTTCTGTCCTTTGTTAAGGTTCGGTAATATATTCTTTGATAAATGTTGGAGTTTGCTTAGCTGTCACACACAGTACATGAGCATGGGTTGACAAGTATTTCATTCTGTAATAGTAAAGAAAGTTGGTTTGGGCCTTTTAATTTTAATCTGCACCTGAATGAATAGATTTACCTAGGATTTCAACAAATAAGCCCCCACAGGTAAACCCTGGGCAAATAGACGTGTTTGGGTATGCATTAGAAAGATTTAGATTTAGACAAACCAGATCAAAATAATTTTCAGATCAAAACATTAATGCCTGTTTTTTGATAAGTAGTTGTATTTGAAGGGCTGTTAATGTATAATATTCATGAATTAATTTTGAACAATAATATCAATAACATGAATCAACATGGTTTTATGAAAGACCGCTCATTCCAAACTAAATTAATCATGTTATATGAAGAAGTTAGTAGAAGTATTGATCAGGGTGATCCATCAGATATGGTCTACTTGGATTTTGCTAAGGCATTTGATACAGTTTCACACAAAAACTTAAATAACTTGGTGTTAATTAAAAATTGTGTTTTTGGATAGAACACTGCAGAGAGTAGATATAAATAGATTTTTTTCAAAATTGGCCATAAACTTGTTCTACATCTCTTTAATCTGTTTATAAATGATCTTGAAGTGGGCGTTGAAAGTCATTTGTTGTTGTTTGCAGGTGACACAATGCTAGGCAAGATAATACAGTCTGAATATGATCTAACATCACTACACAGGGATTTGGATAAATTAGCGGCCTGGGCAGGCAAGTGCAGATGAGATTCATTACAGTTAAATGTAAAGTCATGCATTTTGGAAAAGTAACTCACAAGCCACTTTTACATTTAATGGGGTTGAGTTAGGGATGACATTAAATGAAAAGGACTTGGGAACAATTATAGATAACAAACTAGGCAACAATATCCAATGACTTATGCCATTGTATAAGCTAGCAAAATACTTTTGTGTATAAAAAGGGATATTGATTCATGTGATCGAAAAAGGGATATTGATTCATGTGATCGAAAGTTATTTTAAAAAATATTTTGGATGTTTTTTGCAAAAACAAAATATTTAAGGGAATAATGTATATGTATGTAAACAGGTTATGGCTACAAAGCGAAAACGGATTGTTATTATAGAGTCAAAAATGAATTTTTGGGGCACAATTGGAAATCGCAACTACTGTTTTTTTGCCTTCTTTTTGATCAACAGAATACAAAATATATTCTATGTAACTATATATCTATATATCCAAAATACTTACATAATTAATAATGAGGAGAATAATAGGTTGAGTTGTTTGATGGTGTTATTTTACCATATAACAAAATACTGTTTTGTATCTTTTAAATTGCTTGATTAAGTCAAGTGTGTTTGAAGAGAAAAAGTGAAAATCAAGTGTGAGATATTGGCAATCCCTGAGCATTTTGAATCCAGGAAAAAAGTCACAGGAAAAAGGCACAGAAAATAGTCACAGGAGGATAAGTCACCAAAACACAGTAAACCCTAACCCTACCCAGAACCCTACCGCTAACCCTAACCCCACCACTAACCCTACATCAAACCCTTCCCCTTATGAATTTTCCAGTTTAAACAGTAGAGATCTATTTGTGACAACATTAAATACACTGAATGTGCCTGTACATGTAATGACACAAAATAATGAGCAATGTTTTCAATATTTACATGTCAGCTCTTATGTGACCCTCTGCTCTCCTTACAGAGGTGGGTGTTTACCTTTGCTCCTCCTGTGGTCTTCACTTATTTGGACAGCTTTGGCATGCTTCTGCAAGCAGGATAAACTGCTGACATGTTGGCTTCATTGCCAGCATGTTGCTTTTCGAACAGAGTAAAGCCAGTCACTCCATTCCTATACTCCCCAGCCAGTGCAATAAAAGCCATCAACCACAGTACATGTGCTTTGGTTGCTATGGGTGGAGAGCAGAGGATCACCTGTGGGAAGTACCTTCTGCTCTCCCTGTCAATCAATGATTCACATTGAAAGTCTGTGCTAGAGAATAAATTGACAGGTGGGAGAAAACCTTATTTTTGTATAGTTTCCCTCAAATCTACATTTGTTAACAAAACTGCAAGCACAATGCAGGGATGATATTCCATGTTCTTTTTAATGAGCATGAGTTGTTTTTTTTTTTCCCGGGGGACTTCGGGGGAGGCTGTGACAGGTCAAATTTAATGTTTTGTTTCATTACTTTACTTTGATTAAGAAAATTAACAAATCTTGTTTTCACATTTATATAATATTCTTATATATAAATTATGTTTTCAGTATGCAAAAGTCATGTATTGTCAGTTAATACGTGTTGTTTGTTTAGTCATGGTATTTAAATAAAATGTGAGGTTTTTCTGTGAATTTTTATCCTATCCAAAGTTGAAACTTTTTGTGGGACTTTTTTTCATTTACCTTAAAGGACCACTCTAGGCACCCAGACCACTTCAGCTTAATGAAGTGGTCTGGGTGCCAGGTCCTTCTAGGGTTAACCCATTTTTTTATAAACATAGCAGTTTCAGAGAAACTGCTATGCTTATGAATGGGTTAAGCCTTTCCTCTAGTGGCTGTCTCATTGACAGCTATACTGCTTCTCACCGTGATTTTCACAGTGAGAGCATAGCGTCTATGGTGGGCATGTAAATGCTTTCCTATGCGACGGGGCTGAATGCGCAGCGCTTTTGCCTTCGCAGCGCATTCAGCCCAGGAGGAGGATCGGAGGAGGAGAGGAGGCAGAGAGCTCCCCGCCCAGCACTGGAAAAAGGTACGTTTTTAACCCTTTCCCCTTTTCAGAGCCGGGCGGGAGGGGGTCCCTGAGGGTGGGGGCACCCTCAGGGCACTATAGTGCCAGGAAAACGAGTATGTTTTCCTGGCACTATAGTGGTCCTTTAATTTCAGCTGTGGATCTTACTTCTCATCCTGCTCAGTGAGCGAAACACATATTGCCTATTGGTTCAGATAACAGGAACATAAGCTAAAGTTGCAGGGTGGTCTCCAAATCTTCTAGAATTGTTGCTTTTTGTAACATAACTTGTGCCCTGCAAAGCTTTATGGGATAAGAAGTCCAGCCATGAGTTGCCCTCGAAATGTATTGATCAAAATTGCTGAGAAAGCTGTTGGCAGTTATACCACAGCTGTATTAGCCTATTTCCAGTCATATTCACCATTTTGTGACTGGTGTTTGCAAACTACCAACTATGTATGGATGTGTTGACATATGGACTCATGTAGTATGAAACACAATTCTTCCTAATGCAGTGGGATGTCTGCTAGCTGCATACATTTATATGGCAAGTTTAAAGAGAAAATCTAAGCTTCATGTAGGAGTTCTAGTTCAGAGAGTATGTCCATTTAGCCTTAGCAATACAAACACTTGAGTTTACATTGCTTCATGGGGACACCTCTAGCGGTACCTCTCAGACTAAGATAATGCATCCCTATATGAAAAGATGCTGATAAGCAGCAATTGCTGTACCTGTGCAATAGCTCCAAATGGATTGAATAAGAAATAACAGATCCTCTCCTGTCATTCCTCAACTTTAGCATAACCTGCACTAAATGTTAGCTATAGTTTATGCCAAACTTTTTTTAAATTCTCCATAGTTCTTTTATTTCATTTTCTGGGTTCTGCTGAAATAAATACATGGTGTGCATCCAACAACGATCTTGCCACAAAGCAGAATTGCAGCAGATTCAAGTAGGTAAGTTTTTTATTTTTTTTACCTCCACTGCTCTAGTCCCCACATTACATGCTGAAATAGCAGGTGCAGAGTGAAAAAAGGAGTAAATGTCACTTCACTGGAAGTGACAATACTATTTTAATGACAAATTGGGTACAAAATGTGGGATATTTTCTGGGATATGGAATTTGTGACTTTGTCCCTCAGGCTCAAATTTGCCAACACTACAGAATAGTTAAAATAAACATTTGCAGTAGTATATTTTCAAGATATGGTATTCTCATTCTGTTAACAATAATGGGTATATGTTTGAACGTTTTAACATATAAAGAAATTAACAGTTTCAAAACATAATATTTATCCTATACAGATAATATTTGTTTTAATATGAAATATTTAAACACCAGTAAAGAAGGGATAGATCATTTGGGAAATTAATTTCTGTCTTGATCATGATGACTATTAAGTTTTGAAACTGTTAAATTCTGTATATGTTAAAGAGTTCAATCATCTTCTATTTAAGTATATTTTAATATAATATATATATTTGCTATATGCACTTTAATTTTTTTCTATAGTGATACATTATATGTGTACAGCTATATAATGCACTTTATATATCACATGTTCTTGGCTTTGTACTCAGTGATGTTGTTTAGCACACTGCACTTTGTTATTGTTGTTATTTATGGTTACTATCACTATGGAAACTGTCACTTTGTATGGGCTTGAGATGCCCCTTACTTGATCATGTGGCTAATTAAGATAGTGTAAATCAAGTGTGGTGTGGGGAGAAGTTCGCATTGCTTGATAAAGAAGCACAGTCGAAATGTTGCTATTTTTCCAAGAAAGGGATCTTTTCACAAAAAGGAGTATTGGATTTCTTTTTTGTTTATTTTATTAAACTTATCCGGGAAGGCAGAGCCGGAGTCATTGCACCCTTAAGAAAAATAAAAGTGAGTGCTCTCTCATACCATTGTTTTTTCCATCTCTAGAAGAATTTTAGAGCAATTATCACTAATAGGTCAATTTACTTGAGACAGACACATATAAATATGTTTGGTTGTGTTAAAGCTAACCAATCACAGTGCTCTGACTTGAATTTCAGTAAATGCAGTGCTCTCCAGTCCACAAGCTAGGGAGACTGAATTATTTATGTATGTATGTATGTATTATTTCTTTATTTGCATCACCTTTTCCAGTCTTTTTTAAAACAAAAACATAGAAAATATGAGCTCTGAGAATGGACAGTAGCTTAGAGAAACTCAAAAGCTTGCTCTTCGGTATATCCCCTCTCAGGTCTCAAGCTA